TCATTGTTTTACTCACCAGTGGGGTATTTACTGACGTATTTTATGCCGTAGAACAAAACGTTAAAATCTCTTCAGCTCGTGTTAACCACAGACCTTATTTCAGGATAACAACCAAAAAGACATTCAGAGAACCATTGACCTCCAGACCAGGGGACAGGAAGTGATGAAATGCTGACTCACGTTAGGGATAAGGACTCATTCCTGCACCTCTCTATTCCACATTGACTTTTCTTTGTACCAGATGAGTGTTAAATGCCTTGAAGTGTTTTTGAGTAGACTTTGGTTCTAGCTGGCACCTTAAGGCTTCCTGACATCTTAATGAAACCCATTTTTGGAGCCCTAAATTAATCACAATGCTTAAAATCTTAGCAAAATAACGTTTTTTTTTTGTTGCAAATATGACAGCGTGCAGGAGGTATTCGCACCTGTCTCAGAATATAAATATGCAAAGTGAGTTTCCTGTTATATTTTCTGACTGGACACCGTCAGTGAAATGTTTTAATCAGTGTTGTTTGATTTAAAATCCCCCCAAAAGATCAAATATGCAGTTTTTTCCATAATTTTATTTGGTTTTCTCTTTGAGCAAGTTTCTATTTAATACCGGTACTTGAATACTTGAGGAACCTCTTTAAAAGACAGAATTCAGAATATTGACTTCACGCCACGGACAGACTGTTTACATCAGTGTTGTTTATTCGTCTTGTGTTTTATTTCAATGTGTGCACAGAACATTTACACAGCAGGCGAAGGAGAGATCATATAGAGTTGTTATTATGAAGTGCATTCAGGTCAAAATCATTATTTAAATACAGTCTTAAAGGAACTTTGATCATGACGAATCACAGATCTGGAATTATTTATTATACATTTATATATGTTGATACCATTTGTGCAGGTTTCATGAGTTTCTCATCTGAGTGCTGTTAAGGCTAGCAAGGAACCAAGGAATCAAGGAGCCAAGGAGCAGAGTATATGTTTCTGTCTAAAGAATATCAGAATCTCACACATGTTACAAGACCCTATGCTAAATAAGACCCTATGCTAAATAAGACCCTATGCTCAATAAGACCCTATGCTAAATAAGACCCTATGCTCAATAAGACCCTATGCTAAATAAGACCCTATGCTAAATAAGACCCTATGCTCAATAAGACCCTATGCTAAATAAGACCCTATGCTAAATAAGACCCTATGCTCAATAAGACCCTATGCTCAATAAGACCCTATGCTCAATAAGACCCTATGCTAAATAAGACCCTATGATGCTCAATAAGACCCTATGCTAAATAAGACCCTATGCTAAAGCTAGAGTTTTACGGGGCGTGTTTTGCAATTCGCCAAGCCAATCAGAAATTGGAACCTTTTCCTCCCCAGGAATGTCCCACCTCTCTAGCAGGGACTGAAAAGGGGTGAAAAGGTTTGCAAAAAAAAGTTCTAGTTCCAGATCTTTTTGGTGTAAATGCAAAATCCCAGGAACTATCGGAACTATTCCTGGGAAAAGTATTGTAATGACCGTTGCTAAGGAGGATCAAGAAAGAGAAAGGAAAGGAGGTTCAAATAAAAAAAAAATCTTAATAATGAAAATGTTTCCACACAAATCATAATGTTTTGCAAATTTGGCGGCCCACTTGCAACGCCTTCCCCGCCCACTAGGGGGCCGCGGCCCACAGGTTGGGAACCACTGATCTAGAGAGTCCTAACGGCTCTTATCATGGCTGCCACTGAGGGACTTCCGGGTCATTTCCCTCCGTTAGGAAGGTTCCTAAACTGACTATTCGACCGCAGCCCTGATGCTTTGATGTAAAGGCGGATAATGAGAGGTTTTATCTCCATATTTAATTATTCTTTGGACAACAATTGGATTTCTGCTGATATCAAAAAGTGTGCTATGATATTATTTATATTTGTACCAACTCAAAAAATACATTTTAATTATAATCTGATATTGTACATACTGGCTTCTTCTAATGTCTATATTTTTGGTTCAAATATTTAGCTTTATCTTCACTTATTTAATTCAAAAAGAGATTTAATTGTCCGTTTAAGTCATATTTAAAAGCTGTTGAACAACTCTGTGCTCTGTCCTGAAAACATTACATTTATGATTTAATATGTAGGTTTATTTTTGTAAATGTGTTTACTTTTCTGAAATAATAAAAGCCAAACTTAAAGAGTAAATCCAGACGTTTCTTGCCGTTGCTGCCGATTGTGTATTTGAACTGATTAATGAGTCAAAATGAAAGAGTGTTTGATTAAAACTGATGTTTTTCTGAATCATTTAATGAGATATTGTGATGTATTTTTTTTTCTGTTGCATTTAGTTTTACATAAGGTCTTGTGGATTTTCTACAGTCAGTTCTTCAGAACCAACATTAATTTAAAATATGGGAGCCCTGTGCCCTGAGACCAGTTTCACCGCAAGTACGGAATACGGTTCAGAACTCTTGACTTTTTCAGAACAGGTTTTTTCTCCGAATTTAGATTTTTCTTCAGCATACGGAATTTTTTTCTCAACATGTTCACCTTTTCCTAAAAATCTGACTTTTTTCAGAAATCGGACTTTTTCCTAGAATTCTGACTTTTTCATAATTTTTGAATTTTTTCAGAATGACTCTTTCTTAGAAGCATGTGGATTCCTAGAATTCTTACTTTTTTCATAATTATTTCTTTTTCTTAGAATTCTGACTTTTTCTTAGAATTTTCTGACTTTTTTTCATAATTTCGACTTTTTCCTAAAATCCTGACCTTTTTTTCAGAAATCCGAGCTCCTCTCTCTGATTTCTCCGCTCTAACTTGTTGTAGTTTTCATCTCAGCTGCCGGCCCGCGGTTGCATCTCATCTTCGGCAGCTGTTTGGTGCGTACGAGATACGACAGCGGTTGAATGAAGCTGCTCATGGACAGAATCAAGTAGGTGAAGCTGGTGAGGATGGAGTAGGGCGGTAAAAGTTTGGGAAACAACACCTTGATCAGGGACTCTGCGAGCGACGGCAGGTAGAGGAAGTCCACCATCACTAACGCCGTGAACACCATCTTCAACGCTCTCTTCTTCACCGGGTGCAGATCCTTCCCTCCAGGACCCGGCCGCCGCAGAGACTTCAGGATCAGGACGTTGCTGGTGGAGATGGTCAGCATGGTCACCATCAGAATCCCCAGGACCATCGCCAACTTGTAAAACGGCATTAGTTTCGCCACACCACAGACCGTGAACGCTAAGACGCTAACCAGCAGGCACAAGGACAGGCGGAGCTTAGGTTCTTTGAGACGGAGGAAGATCAACGGGTGACAGACCGCCATGAATGCGTCCAAAGAAAGAGCGCAGAGCAGCATCGGACCCCCCGCCTGACTCAAGCCCCAGGACAGGAAGTTAGAGTTCGCCTTTGTTTTATTGAACATGAAGTAGATGTACTCGATGACCACCATGAAGCAGAACATCATGTCGAACACGGCCAGGTTGAGGACGAAGATCTCAGAGGTGGAACAGACGTTGGGTTTGCCCAGCAGGAGGCGAAGAACCAAAGCGTTGGCCGGGATCCCGAGAGGAGGAACCAGGACTATGGTGGGCAGGAAGTACCAAACCAGATGAGGGATGGAAGCGGTTTCGTTTCGTCCGTCCATCTCAGGGTGAGTTCAAGTTCTTTGATATCTGTGGAAAGAGAAGATTATTTTACAATGTGCCAATTATTTGGTTCATTCAATCCTTCTGCTTTAGGATGGTTAAAAGAACCGGCCTTGGGTTTATGGTACTTAGTCAAGCTTAATATTCTTAAAAATAGTAACTCATAATAAAAGACAAGGCTGCACTTCTATTTGGACTCAAGTGTCTCTCTTCATGTTCATGTCCACGTCGCGCCTTTTTCCCTTTATGAAGTTTCCTGCTCTCACACTTGGTCTGAATCGACTTGTCACTCTTTAGTTGGACAATGAGGGAGGAGGACGATTAAAGTACATCAATCACCGGCAGGACTACAGGTTATTCTGCTCCAATAAACGGGCTTTTCTGGGGCTTTGATGTGATCGTTTCTGTCTTAAAGACACAGTCGAAAACAAGCTTTTTTTTAATCATTTTTATGTTTAATTCATCTATTCAATTATCATACATGAACATCATACATTCTACACAACTAAGTCCAGGGACAGACCTACAAAGCAACAAAACATTACATAAAGTGGGGACCTTTCTCCCTGTGTGTGCCTCTCCACCTCTGTTTCCTACTTCTTACTTGCTACCCTTTTCCCTCAACCTATCCTAAGGGAGTGCATGTATGTAGACACGTTAGTTTAGCTGCTATAGGCTTGGACTGTGGGGGGGGGCACCTTACTCCGTCTTTCTGGCTGTTTGTACCTGTGTACTCTCATGTTCCGATCAACCCAGCTTCCCCCAAATCTCTTTTGTGTGTCCATATATACGCCGGGATCCTGAGTCGAGGCTAATCCTGTTGTTGTGGTCGTGTGTCCTGGATCCTCTATCCTGAGCACTGGATCTGAGTCCTGGACTTCGAGTCGTGGCTGAACCTGTCTCTGCGGTCCTGCCAGACTCTCATCATACTACTTCCCTGATGGCTCCCACAGGATTGCTGACATCCTCGTGGATTCATCTTCTTATTATAGACACATGCATTTCCGAACATTTGGTCTTTCCAAACATTTGGACTACCTACGCTGTGAAATGTATTATCTCTTCAATTTACACACGGCATCTATTGCACGTCTGTCCGTCCTGGGAGAGGGATCCCTCCTCTGTTGCTCTCCCTGAGGTTTCTCCCATGTTCCCCTTTAAACTGTGGGTTTT